TATTCATTCGATCATTCCATTGAAAATATATTAATATTTATTAAATCCTTCTAGCTACTACCAAACAAAACCTTTTAAATTTACACTCGCCTTAATCGTAGAGTCGCGTGCGAAAACCACATTTCAGTACATGCACCAACAATTTGTTTTATCGCTGTAATAGATAAAATGCTCCCGGAATTTCCCTACCAATCCTATTTTAACTCCCCTTAAGACGTAAAACTCGATTACGCTTATTAATATTTGCATATGAAACGGTATTTTTATGTAGAGTTCAATAACCTTTCTAATTTGATTATTTCATGTTATCTAAATAGCTTTGTCATGCAGAGAGTATGTTGTTTCATACAGTCAATTATTCTCAATTAGTTCTATTATTTTATATAGATTTATAATTTTTAATTATTTAATTAGCAAAAAATATATATTCACTTAAGGCAAATTTTAGAACTCTACCACAATTTTATAAATTTAGAGATGACCAAATTATATAATACGGCTAAAACTTCATATTTTTTAATTATAATAATAAAGGTTTTTTGGACGCTTTCTGTAATTATGTTAAAATATAAAAATAGAATATATTTTTCATTAAAGAAATTCTGATATAATATAGCCAAGTCGAAGAAAGGTACAACAAGTTTGTGTTTTTACCTAGTATTACTATTACACATCTTATATTATTTCGGAAAATCATCAATTAGTTATTTTGTGTATTATAAAGTACGTGTGAGTCCCGAAATCCGTATATTTATGGGTGATCGTCAACTTCCTAACTCTAGGCCAGTACTGAAACTTTCGAAACAGAATGACTCAATAACTAATCTTGGCCCGACCCGGGATTCGAACCTTGGGCCTCCGGATCTACATACTAGATTAGAGGGCCGAGGCAGCTGTTGTACATATATTGCATTAAAAGCATTTGGATATCATAGAGGCAAACATGGTTTTTGTACCATCGGCAAATACAATCTAACATTGTATGCTAAAAAAATCACGCCTTCAAAATCAATAAAAAACCAGCCAAGTGCGAGTCGGACTCGCGCACGAAGGGTTCTGTACCATTATCTATAAAAACGGAAAAAAAAATTGTTGTATGGGAGCCCCATTTAAATATTTTTTTTTATTTTAATTTAATTATTTATTATATAATTCTTGTTTTTTTAGTATTTGTTGTTATAGCGGCAACAGAAATACATAATCTGTGAAAATTTCAATTGTCTATCACGGTTCATGAGATACAGCCTGGTGACAGACGGACATACAGAGAGACACAGACGAACGGACAGCGGAGTCTTAGTAATAGGGTCCCGTTTTACATTTTGGGTACGGAACCCTAAAAAATCATGTACATATTATGAGTAATTATTGTACTATGAGTGGAAAAACTTACTAAACATACAAACATACATAATGTATATATTATATAATACCTAATATCGTTAGATCAGAATATATAAATGATGGATCACGATTTTCGATTGTATAGATTACACTCAATCATTATTTATTTTCCTTGTCATATTAAATTCAGCCTTGAAGTAAGCCAAATTAATAATATGTGTTATTAGTAGCAATGTATTCATGAAATTTAATAATAGTTTTATATGGATTACTTAATTATTAATTATGACGACACGTTTGGCTCAGTTTGAAGTGACCCTACTTGCTGTGCCAGCGGTCGCGGGTTCGAGTCCCGCTGGGGGCATTCATTTGTGTGAGCACGAATGTGTATACTCTAGTCATGGGTGTTTATATTTATAATATGTATATATTTAAAGTTATATATATGTAATGTATCAACTATCTGGTATCCATAACACAAGCCTCGTAGCTTAACTAGATGGTAACAAGATGGTGCTGTGTGTTAATGTCCCAATATATTTATTTATATTTATAGTTTTACATTAACGTATGGAAGTCTGTCCTTTTTGTTCACATTTATGATTACTGCTCCGCTTCCTTAGGTAGTAGCATGGTGGTATTTAGCCTTTTTCGATAAACGGGCAATTTATTTCAAAAAGATTTCTTCAAATCTGATTAGTAGTTCCTGAGATTAGCGCGTTCAAACAAACACACTCTGCCTCTTTATAATATTAGTATAGATTTATTGAAGCGAATAGTTTTGCTTAAAGATTATATAAGCTTAATGATTCACTGCTAGTAGCCCAGTGGTAACGCGCTCGCTTGGGTAACCGAATGAAGTGGGTTTAAGTCCAGGGTCTCGCATCTCTGATAATTTTATGTGCGAATCATTTTCAACATGATTATTTATTTCTAGTCAAAACGTTGTAAAGAAACCTGCATGTTTGAGAAAACCTAGCAAGTTTTCGAAAGTGAAGTCCGCCAACTCGCACTTGGCCAGCGTAGTGGACTATGGCCGGATCAAGCCAATATATTAAAATGTAGTTAGAAGGCAGTGAATATATAAAAAATAAATACATAATAATCATGCTAAATATAGGATTTTTAATAATTATTCAATTATGAAATATTTTTCTAATAATCTTAATATCAAAAACTCTAGAATAATATAATTAATTTTTAATAAAAAAAGTTACATTGATCCTAAATCACACCCTTAGTGATGAGGTTGGTGGATATGTATGAATGTATATACTCTTTCACGTCAGAACGCCTGAACGGATCTGGATTTGTGGCACAGAGATAGATTATAGTCTGGAATAATACACAAGTTTCTTTTTATCCCGGAAAAAATAATGTTCCCGTGGGATAGGTAGGAACCTACGCCATTAATGAATGAACGCTGAATGAACGCCAGTATGAAATAAATAAAACATTATTATTATTATAATAATTCAGTCGCTTAAAGCGTTTCACTCCTCGGTAGGGGCCTCCTTCATTGGGTGAGAGATCAGGTCATAGTCCATATGGGTTCGTTAGTTCGTTTTTTCGTTAGTTCCATGTTTTTCGGAACCTAGTTAGACTCTCAGAGATGTAGGCTTCCTTATGATATTTTCATTCAACGTATCAGTAGTAATCATGTTGAAAAACCTGATTCTCATATAAAAATCTCAGAGGTTGCAGAACTATTTTGTTTTAATAATGAGTATAATATGTAAACTACCACAGACATATTGTTCGTGCGTTTTTTTTGAGCTCTTTATTTGTTTTTCCTTAAATATAAATATAAACAGTTACTCTAGAATACTATACAAAGTCCATTTTAATATTAGAAATGGGCTTAAGGAATTTGAGTGAGATTGCTTTCTGATTGTGATATCAGCATGACCTGAGTTTGAATCCGCTTCACTTGGTTTTCTTACCTAGTATATTACCACTACGTTACCAACGTTATTTAAAAACAAATAATATTAATACTTTTCATTTTGTTAAGAAATAATTATACGAAATATGCTAAAGTAGCTAAGAACACCATTCATTTTAAAAAATCGCGTAGAGCGTACATAGAGATAAAGATAAATATTCGTTTTAAAGGAAGTAAATTTAAAAGTGATTTAAATATACGTTTCTGTTTAATTTTCAAGTGTATCGTCTAGTTATTTCTAGAAAAAGCTAAATCGAAATTGATGAGATTTTTAATAATAATTATCTAATTTATGCCACAAAATAACCTAAATTCAAAGCACATAGATTCAAAACCGTGAATCCTTATAGAGCTTATTATTTCGCCTTCCAATTAGTAAGGCTACACATTTAATTACGTCGAATTCATTAAAGCTCAGGCGGGAATGCTAATTTTCACAGATTCCAGGCAAAGGGATAAAATAAAAAGAGATTTTTGATGTGTATTCTAATTTTTATATTTTGTTTAAACTTTATTAGAATCGCTCTGAAATTAAAATGTATATAAATAAATGTTTTATCTATACTAATATCATAAAGAGGAAAGGTTTTTTGTTTGTTTGTACCGAATAGGCTCCGAAACTACTGAACCGATTTAGATAAAAATTGGTAAGAAGATAGTTTGAGACCCTGGGATATATATAGGATAGTTTTTACCCCGAAAATCATCCGTTAAGGGGATGAAAATGGGGATGAAACTTTGTATGGCGAAGCAACCTAGGGACGAATCCGACCGAAGCGAGAGTGAGTCGCAAGTATAAAATAGACAGCTTGAACAGTTAGTTAATTATTTTGTGTTATATAGAACGCAAGAACAACATGTCTTCCCTTTAACTAGAGACTATAAGAAAAGTCCCATTGGACACATTCTTAGATATAATATTTTATAAAAGTAAGTTAAAATTAAATTACTTTTTTTGCCTTTTTGGATAGATCGTAATAGTATTAAGTTATAATATTTTAGTATTGTTTCCTAGAAAAAAAATATTTTGTGTTAACAGTAGCGTAATCATTTAATCGTATATAGTAGAGTCATATTATTAATAATAATAATTTTTAATAATTGACTTACTTACTTAATTTGTAGATAGGCAGATTTAAAAGATTGAGAGAAGCTTACCTGAAAATAAAATTAATTTATGTAATTAAAAATGTCTGGTTTTTATCTAAAGTTTCAAAATATTTTTTATTTAATTTTGTTATTTTTATTATTATTATATATATATATATATATATATATATATATATATATATATATATATATATATATATATATATATATATATATAAAAATAACACGGATTTTTACTCGAATACACTCAATACTCATAGGGTATTTGAAAATTACTTTTTATACAAATTTATTTATTAGGTAATTTAACTATATTATAAGTAGGTAGTTAAAATGAGGGAAAAATCTCTCTCGTGTAACTATTACTATAAATAATTGTAAAATGTAGAGAATAAAATAAAAATAATGTAAAAATCCACCCGTCACTAATAAAAACTTTAATATTCAAAATATTGCCTTTAAGCTATTAAAAAGTTGAAAAAATATAAATAAATAAAGCACCATTTTTTTTTCACTATTAAATATCCCATTCCATAACGACTCCATATATCGATTAACCCATCTCACTATGTAATATTATACCATGATAGTACAGCCTTACCTATAGTATACGTAGCGCCATCTATCTGAAAAGTCGCACTTTTGCACTTCTTAAACAGCTTGCCACTCACAATCTGTCGGGTGGCGCTACCATGGGTGGCCGGATTCGACATAATTTCCTTCCTTACCGCAGCGCTACTATCGAACCTATTTCTTAACTCCTCAAAAGATAAATCACTGGGCAGTTCCGGGATCTCCCTTCGCACTTGCCCGCCAAGCCCGGGGGTATCGTTTTTGTCCATTTTGCCACTACACTTGTAGTACTTTTACACAGTCACTTGTACACACAGTTAAGTCACAAGTCCATATTTACATTATTAACCCTTTAAGAAATAAATAAGTCGATTTTCGTAATTATATCATTTGAAATTTAATTTATAAAGTTTTGACCGACTTCAAAAAATAAAGATGCATGAAAATTGAAAATCATGTTCAGGACCGACAAAGACATTTTTTTTAACATATTATGTAAACAAAGACGCACAACTTCCTATTCTATACACTTTTTGTGTATATATAATATATTACTCCATGCATTTTGACTTTATAATCAGTCCGTAAACGTTTGTAAGGTCACGTATACGCATCAATCTCCATATCGTGGCCAAACCTACAGCGTAACTAAATTTAGCTTTTCTGGTATATGTTATGCTACACATTACATGCGTAGTACGTCGTTTTTGACTCTGATATATTATCAAGTTGACTATAAAATCTCTATAATGACTTTCTCTGATAGAAGATGAGTCTATTTTAGAAGCCTATAGCTGTTTTTCTATAAAATTCTTACAATTGATAGACATCGATCAACATGAACAAGTTGTAAGAGCTTAGCATGAAATTTGGTTCCGGATTTACTTTTATATGGAGGTGATCTAAAATTTTATATTTTATTAAAAAAAACCCTAAATGACTCAAATAGGGATTGAAAATTTGTATAAAAACCTTGTTCATATCAAAAAACGTAATTAATGTTAAGCATCTGTTTTTACCATCGATGGATTCCCTATCATGTTCAGTTACTTCATAATATTAAATAATAAGATAATATTGTAAAGGATCAAAGAAGAACTAAAAATATTTTTTTTTAAAAGGGGAAAATCTCATCATACAGACTTTCAAGCCACAAGCAACTTATAGAGAAACAAAAGCTTTAACATTTATAATATTATCAGTGGTATTTACTGGTTATTTAAGAAATTGAATTTATCTAAAACTTTACACGAAAGTTACATGTGTTCAGACAGAAAGCAATAAATGGTTTTTTGAGCTTTATTTTAATATATCTTCCGTAAAAACCCGATGAAATTCAATATTAATTTAAAATACGTAATGAGTATTGATTAATTTTTAATTAAAATACAGACGACTAAAGCTCGAAGGAGGATCTCTTCGATACTACTCGAAACATATGACATGTCTCTTTCATAATCTCATTGATTTCTTCTAACAGCTGGCATCTGCTATAATCTATTCCCATAAATATTTTTCGTGAATCACTCATACTTCATCGAGAAATATCTGTAACAAAATTGATGGATACGTTTGGCATATTTTTGATCATTTCCGTTAGAATATTATATTTCTGGGCTTTATTTGTCTGGGAACGTAGATGATATAAATAAAGTAAAATATGATGTTGGGATATTAACACACAGCACCATCTCATTCCGTGGTAAGCTACGAGGCTTCTATTATAAACTATACCAGATATTCGATACACTACTCATATATAACTTTAAATACATACATATTATAAATATAAATATCCATGACTAGAGTACAAACATTCGTGCTCATTACACAAATGAATACCCCCAGCGAAACTCGAACTCGCGACCGCGGTAGGATAGCACACTACAAACTAAGACTAAATAAAGAAGATAAATTGACTCATATCGTACCCAGGGATAGCTATAATCTATACTAATATTATAAAGAGGCAGAGTTTGTTTGTTTATTTGTTTGTTTGTTTGTTTGAACGCCCTAATCTCAGAAACTACTAATAAGATTTGAAAAATTATTTTTGCCTCAGATAGCCCATTTATTGAGGAAGGCTATAGGTTATATATCGACCCGGAAAAATGTACGGTTTCTTTGTGATAGATTTGTTTTTGTCAAACCCGTCGACCCAAAGCGAAGCAAAGGGTAAATCGGTGTGTTTTATAAGAGATATTGTAATTTAATATTTTAAATAGCAACTATTGAATTTTTCGGCAGAACTTTTGAATTTTATCAGCAGAATTGTATTCGAAGCTCGTAGTAGCTTTTTCACGAATTGATTACATTAACTCTTAATTATTATAATTAATTTAAAAATTCAATTATGTCTGTAAAACTTTATTTAAGTAAGGTAAATTGATACTTTTAATTTAGATAGTTAAGATAATAACTAAAACAAAGATTTTTCATCGAAACCTTTCTAGATATTTTGAAGTAATGCATCGTTAAACAAACAAATAAAAATATTAAAAGTCTAAAAACTATTAACATCTAAAAGAGATTGTGAATAATATTTACCAAAAAATAATCATTTTTGAAGTTTGACTCTATAAACATTTGTTATATTATAATATACCTACATATAATAAAATTCTAACTGAGCCGAATCTGTACATTGAATATTTTTTGAAAAATTTTACTGGACGATACAGAGGCCGAATCTATAGTTTTTATAATTTTCGTCTGTCTGTCTGGGAATGCATCACGAAAAAACCATTGGACAGATTTTGATGAAATTTGGTATGATGCTAGCTATCCAGCTAGCATCATACAAAAGGAAAAGAATACCCTTCCTGGTTAACATATAGAATACTTTTTACTGCGGGAAAATATCTCATCTGTGAGAAATCTATACTTAACGTTAAAACGTAACTAAACGCTAGTATGTATATATACGTAAAAAATGAAAGTATATTAGATATTCAGTTTTCAATCAATTTTTTTTTATGCCTTTATAATATATCAGAAACTGGAATCACAAAATATGCTTGTTTCGTATTCACATTCAGAAAATTTCAAACGCGTTGAAGCGTATTAGAGAAATCTGCTGAGATTTACGTCGAACACCACCGTATACACCTATGAGCCGAATGTGTCGATATTATTGTGCAACAGACGTTTTAGCTTTTGATGTAATGTAGAATTTACTATAGTCTAAATTATGCTGAAACGATTGATCATTAATTTTATTTTGATTGTGTCCAATTAACATAAGGTTTAAAAAAGAGATATGTGAGGCTCAAATAGTTAGCATATAAAAATTGGACCAATTCGTCACTCTGTTTCGACGTGAAAGAATGACAAACAAACACACTTTCAGATCTATAATATAAAGTATGGATAGTATCTTAGTTTTATATTGTATAGCGATAACGATTATAGAAAGCCAAACTGGCTAAGGTATCTAAAATATTAAAAATGTAAACCGTATTATGAAGTGTCTTATTGTAGAGAACGTGGTTTCGAATTCTGTCACGCATACTTGATGTAATAAATTAATCCATTCTTGTAAAACGACAGAAAAACCTTATGTTAATTTATATTTCCTTCAAAATATCTTTAAAAGCCGTTATTTGGCATGTACATTGTACTCGTACATACGAGATAAGCGAACAATCGGAGTGAGGTTTCTCAATACAAAATCCGCAAAGAAATTGGCTTTATAATATACATAGCTATAATATGTATACTTTCACAAGATTAAAAGCTTTAATCTGAGCTTCACGGATCCTACTTACGTGTAAATCGAAATCATATATTTTACGAATATACGAAATTAATTTCCACCTGATATTTCCTTAATCTGTCTATATCTCTACTAATATATTATGTATATGTTATAAAGAGGATGATGTTTTTTGTTTGTTTGAACAAGTTTATATTTTGAAACTATTAGTTAGATTTAAAAAAAAATCTTCTTTAAAAGCTTATTTATTGATAAGGGCTTTTTATTCATTTGCTTTTCTAGGGAAACATACAGTACAATTATAAAAATAAATTAACAAATATATCAAAGTTATCCTAAAACCAATCAAGTTTCTGATATATTATATATAGAAACTATATTTTTTGATATTTTTTCTGATATCTTATATATAAAAAAATTTAGAATTTAAAAATAAAAAAAACTGAATGGTAATTAATTACTTATGCATATTACCAAGAATAAAGAAACTACCAATTATAATTTTTTTTTAGTTTTTTTTTAAATTATTGTATTTAAGATGGAACACATAATATCTTAATCATAATATTTTAACTTAAATTTGTTAAATGCACGATATATAAAATTATTTGAATTATACTTCGTTTTAAGTTTTGGTAATGGAAATGGATGTTTATTTCGTGCTCCTAACCCGTGACACGCAATGTGCACTATGCTTGAAAATAGGGGAACATTAAATCTATACTAATATTATACAGAGGTAAACTTTGTGATATTGTGAGTTTGTGATGTTATAGGGGGTAATATCTAGATCTACTGAACCGATTTTCAAGGTTCTTTTACCAATAGAAAGCTTCTTCTTTCTGAGTGGCTATATATTAACCCGAAGAATGAAAAGACTTTTTCATGGTAGTCAGATTTGCAAAGTAAGTCGGAGAAAAAACGGTCGAACGAAAACGTTTCTTACGAACGCTGCCTTAACGATGAGAGAGATATGATTATGTTCTAGAGAAAAGTTGTAGAGCTTAATAATGCCTACAAAAAAGTCAGCGACAGCATATGTCTAACTTTTATATTAAGGTCACAAAAAGTAGTATTTTATATTAAAAAAATAATTTAAATCGGTAGGTCATGTTTATTGGTCATATTATCAACAATTTTGAATTCTTATCACAAAACAAAAGACTTTTCCCTTTTACTGCATATAATTTGGACAAATGGTTAAAGAGATAATACGACATACGTACTCGTCTTTAACATGACGGTGTTTTTCGAGTGTATCACCGCACAAGTACAAGCAATTTAGCCATTTTTACGTGCCACTGCTGGGTATGGGTCTCCCTCAATACGATTGGGATCAGACCATAGTCCACCACGCTGGCCAAGTGCGGGTTGGCGGGTTTCACATGCCTTTCGAAAACTTGCTAGGTTCACTCAGACGTGAGGAATCACGATATTTTCCTTCACCGTAAGAAAAATGAAATATAATCATATACATATATAAATAATAAACTACGCGAACAGATCCACAAGCTACCACTAGTTCGTTATAAATACGAAAATGTAAATTTGTTA